ACAGCACAGTCTCTACCCCTGGCACCCCGACAGCCAGCCCTGGTCAGCACCACAGGACTCAGCATTAAGGAGCCTGCCCCTCTGCCCACCAGGCCACAGGTGCCCGCCCCTGCCCCCTTACTGCCGGACTCTAAGACCACTATTGCACCCACGGGTAGCCCCAAACCCTTACAGCCCCTCCCCACACCCATCTTGACCATTGCACCACACCCTGGAGTCCAGCCCCAACTGGCCCCCCAGCAGCCACCTCCATCCACGCTTGGGACCCTGAAGTTGGCACCTGCTGAAGAAGTCAAGTCCAACGAACAAAAGAAGAGACCAGGGGGGTGAGTGAGGTGGGACAGAGTGGGGGCTGGAGAGAACTGGCTACGCCCTTGTGTGTGTGAAAGAGCACCCGAGGAGCTTCCTATTTGGGCATATTGTCACCGTGCCCATCCCCACCAGTAAGTGGCACTGCCCTCTGTCATCCTCAGGCTTCTGGTTCCCCAAGGCTAGGGCTTTTGGCATTTCCAAGCCATTGGGCACACAAAGCCAGCAAAGCAGTTCAAACCCATGTCACCAGCCAGGAGACAGATGAGGCTGTCTGCTCCTGCATGAAGATTTACAGCTTCAGAAACCCCAAGGGGCAGTTCTAGTCCGCCCTGTGGGGTCACTAGGAGTTGGAACCTGTTCGGGGAAGGGGGTTGGGCTAACCGGCCTGGTGTGAGCTTGTCTCCTCATGGGCAAATGGGTGGGATAGGACACTAACGGGGTTGTGGGTGATGAACCTGGATATGCCGTCCAAGGGATTTATGTGGCACAGGGCAAACATCTTTGCTTCCTAAAGGAGAACGTTGGGGACAAAGCCGCCTGTGGCATTCGGGAGGCTGGGGGCGGCTGGTAGGAGGGCTGCAGAGTGGGGCCCTCCTCCCTGAGCCGCCTCTGTCTGGGTTGCAGGATCGGCACCAGAGAAGTCCACAACAAACTGGAGAAGAACAGGTGTGACTGGGCCCACCGCCCTCAGTTCCGGGATTGGCCCAGCCCTTGGTCTCCCCGCAGCTCCCCTTGGGCCTCCCCTTCCCCACCCCCCCGGGCTGGCTGACCCCAGCTAGCTCCTTTTCCCCAGGAGGGCCCATCTGAAGGAATGCTTTGAGACCCTGAAGCGCAACATCCCCAACGTGGACGACAAGAAGACGTCGAATCTGAGCGTGCTGCGGACGGCACTGCGGTACATCCAGGTACAGGGGGAGGGAAGCCGGGCCAGGCAGAGGGCGGGCTAGGGTGGCAGTGGCGGCTGCAGCAGCAGCAACTTCCTCCCTCCCTCCCCAACCCCCCTCTCCCGCCCTCCTTCGCCGGCTGCGTCCCCGCCCTCTCGCTCCCCCGCCCGCCTCCACGCGGGCACTGAGCACATGGCCTGGCTGACGTCAGCGGGGCTCCCTACCCGGGAGGAGGAAGCGGGAGGCAGGACGCGCGTGCGCGGGGGGGAGGGCGGTGGCAGCGGGAGCCCCCCCCCTTTTCCACCACCCTCCCTCCAGTCACCTCCACCAAGCCCCCGCCTCCTGCTCATCCCCGAAGCCTTGGTGTCTCCGGGACCGCGGAGGGCGCGCTGCAGCCCGGCCGGGTGTAAAACCCGGTGCCCGGACTACCGCTATCGTGTTTGGTCGGGAGGGGGGCGCGGGCAGTGCGTGGAGCCGGCTCCTCCGCCCTGTCGCAGTGCCCCCTTCTACCCCTGTATCTGTTGGTGCCCAAGCTTTAGGCATGTGGAGTGGGGGTACGGAGCCCACCTGGGCCCCCCTCGGCGTGATGTCAGGCCCCGCCCCCTTACCCCAGGGGACGCCCCCTGGTGAGGTGCCTATCTGAGGTTGAGGAAAACTGTTTAAATCAGCTTGGGGGGACTGGTGGTCCTTCTAAGTGAGAAACAACCACGGGAGTCGCAGAATCTTTAAAAATTATGCTTTTCTTCTGTCTGGGTTACAAAAATAAGCCCTACTTCTAGTTGCTTTTTTAAGGGGCCCTTCTGGCAGTGTGTCCCCTCCCTTTGGGCACCGGCTCTCCTGCAGGATGGGGGTTGGGGAGCGCGCCTGCCAGATAAGACAGTTGCCATGACGGCCCTGAGTTTCGGTTTCCCTGGAAACCGTGGAGGGTTCCGCGTTCAGCAGAGGTTGTGGGGGATGGGGCCGGCGGCCACGCTCGGCTGCCGAGGAGACACGGGAGCCATTGGGCAATGGGAGGAACTTGGGTCTCTCCCTGCCCGGTCGGGGGAGGGGGAGCATTAGGGTCTCCCAGTCGACCTTCCGGTGAAACCTTGGAGGGCTGGGCAGCTTGGTGAGCCCCCTTGGGAACGGGTGGCAAGGACGGGTCTGGTGGTGCTGTGAACTAGCGGCGGACGCCACCCCTCATCCCCCCTCCTTTCTCTGCTGCGGGGTCACAGCCCTGAGGTAACCAGAGCCTGACTTGTTGAGGGGCGGAGGCGCTGCTTCGCGACGGTTCCCAGCCGGCGGGCCACTCCCCTCCTCCCGCGAGCGACCGAGCGCCCTTCCGCCCGCACTGGAGGGCGAGGGCGAGGGACTGGCGCGCTTCCAGGCCGTTTCCCGGCACCTGGTGTGGGCGGGGCCATGCTCGGGGATTGGCTGGGCCTCGTGTGGGCGGGGCTTCACGGCGTGCAGGAGGAGGGTGCGGCCGGCGGAGAGTGACGCAGCAAAGCGAGGTCCGCGTGGGTGCGCGCGTGCTCTGGAGGGGCGGAGCTTCGTCTGCAGCTGGAACGGACCTGGCGCCAGGAAGGGGACGGGGTGTGGATTTTGGAGGCCGAGAAAGGCCGGTCCAGGCATATTTCTGGGACACGTTTGCAGAACTCCGGTTTGAGTTTACCTACCGGTACTTCTGTCGTATTGTCTGCCAGTGATCAAATCTCTGCCCGCATACCGTGACATCCCTGAATACCAATGACTTCATTTCTGCTATGAGGCTAAATGGGCGGGGGGCGGGGGGAGTGTAAAGTAATAGTAGCTCTGTCATAGGGATGCTAGGCTTAAATCTGACTGTGGAAATAGTACCCACCAGTCTGTAAACGTGAAACAGCGGTTATTCCAGGGCCGGAGCGATGAAATGGCGGGTTCCTCTTTGTAGACATGTGCTTTGGGAGGGGAGACCTGCGTAATAGGGAATTTGGAATCACTTAGAAATCGATTCAGTGGAACCCCCAGGCTCCTCATCGGATACTTGGCCTGGAACTAGTAGTGGGAATAAAAACCAAGAAATCCACTGCAGACTTCGTGACCCCATGTGTGGGATGCTCCCAGGGTGTGCTCAGCTATGATCTTTTAGAGGAGGAGTCTTGGTGGTTATGCGTTGAGCTGCTAGTTTCAGGTCAACAGTTCAAACCCACCAGCTACTCCGCAGGAGGCTTTCTACTCCTATAAAGAGTTACAGTATCAGAAACTCACCAGGGCAGATCTACTGTGTTAGGCTGGGTTGACTAAAGAAACAAATTCAGCGACATATATGTGTAAGAGCTTTATGTAAGAAATTACATATCGAGCAAACATCCAAATCCAGTGCAGGCCAAGTCCATAAATCCCTGTTCAGACCCACGCAGCCACATGCAGTGAGCAGAGTGTAGGGAGATCACAGGCCGGTGGGGGCAGGGTTGCATAGATCCAATGGCAGTGGCAGCATCACAGGGCTCAGTGCAGGGCCCTACCTGGGCTCATCAACCAGAAGGTGAAGGCAGAGAGGGGAGTAAGTCCCCAGCACCCTCCTTATAAGGTCATGCCCACAAGGAGGCACCATCAGGCTGTGACCTGATTGACAGGCTAGACTCCACCCCTACACGTTTATGTAGCTTCAAGTTGACATGAAATTATGTGAACTACCACATCTACCCTGCCCTACAGGGTAGCTGTGTGTTGGCAAGGACTCAATGGCAGTGAGTCGAGGGCTTTTGTTTTCTCATAGAAGCAACCGCCCAGTCCTTTCATACTAGTAACCTGAGGGTTAAGCCTTTGACACTACCCAGGGGCCTTGGTGGTTGTGGAAATGGAAACTGTAGAAAGATTCACAATGTGGTTTTCTCTAAATCCCCAACCTCATCCGTTAGTGTTTTTCATTTAAGTACCTTTAGCTATCCCGTGCCTTTCCTCCCAGGTTCGTAATTGTGGCTTTGTGGAAGATGATAAAGTTGCGAACAGACTAGGCCGTCGTCCTCGCTCCGTCGGGGGAAAGCAGGGTAGCCCTGGAGGAGCACTAGGGAAGTCTTTGCTGAGGAAAGGATGGACGTGTGAGCCGAGCCCGTAAGGACGAGTCGAGGTGAACACGGAAGGCAGGGAACTGGGTCCAGGCCAGCATTTTTCCGGTGGGTTGTTGGCAGAGATGGGGACACTAGATGATAGTCAAAGGTGGTGCTGATGGGGCCCTGTAGACTGAGGGCTCTATGTGCTGGGGGTATTGGTGGGAGGGGCAGTGGAGATGCTGAGGGAGGCCTCCAGTCGGACTCCAGGGTGGCTGGAAGTGGCAAAAGGTTTGCAGAAAGTTGTGCTGTAGGCAGGCAGATCCCAGATCAAAAAGAAGGTCCTCTCTTCCCAGCCTGGAAATCCCCCAAGCAGGCAGCATTCCAGATTGCTGCTTCCAGCCACCTCCACTCCCCCCCTCCCCCCACTGTCCCACCCAGTCAGGTTGCAGTGAGGGCTGAGGACTTGTCACCAGTCCTGCTGTCAATGGGCCCCAACTGGATTCATATCCAGCCCTGGCCTGTGTGTCTCCCTTACACTTTACCTGCAGAGATGGCAGGTTACGGGTATAACACTGTCAGATCTCAGCCAGGGCAGAAGGCGGCAGCGGTAGGTCACAGGCAGCTTCTCTCACCAATAAGGTGAGAAATGGAGCTCATGGGGGAAGTGGGGCCTCGCTGATGGGTGATTGGAGACATTGTTGTGCTCAGTGATGGTGGGCAGTCATGGGAGACTGCTGCTAACCCCTCCCCTCGAGGAACGGGCATCAGGAGGAAGCCAAGGCTAATAGTTACCACGATTCCCTCTAATGCAGTGGTTCTCAACCTTCCTAATGCCGAGACCCTTTAATACAGTTCCTCATGTGGTGGTGACTCCCCCCCCCAACCATAACATTATTTTCGTTGCTACTTCATAACTGTAATTTTGCTACTGTTAAGAATCAGGCGACCCCTGTGAAAGGGTCGTTTGACCCCCCAAAGGGGTCTCAACCCACAGGTTGTAAACCGCTGCTCCGAGGAGCTCTGATTGGTGTAGTGGGCTACAAATTGAGCTGCTAACCACAGGGTAGCCATTTGAGCCCACCTGTGGCTCCATGGGAGAAAGATGAGGCTGTCTACTCCTGTAAAGATGTAAAAGTCTCAGAAACCCACAGGGGCCGTTCTGCCCTGTTCAATCGACTCGGTGGCAGGGAGTTTGAGCGTTAGTCTTTCTGCCATAGGGAGAAGAGACTCACGAGAAACCGCCTCCACACACACACAGCCCCTGGTTGATTTCCTCCACTGGTGCCAGGACCCACCTTGTGCACTGCTGCCTCCACTGGTGCCAGGACCCACCTTGTGCACTGCTGTCTCCACTGGTGCCAGGACCCACCTTGTGCACTGCTGTCTTGGCCAACAGTGGGGCTGGCGCAGAGAACGTGACTATAATGACCGTTGTTCGTTCACACACAGGGCTGGAGGGAACGGTGTGTGAGGTGGGGAGGCATGAATATGGAGATGGGGGTTGTGAGAGTCTAGTTAGATGGGTGGCTGGGGGACCCACGAGGCCTTTTAAGGCAGGAGGAAGAAGGCTGGGTGGCGTCGGTGGGAGATTGGTAGAGGAAGTTGGGACCTCAGCTGTGCACGGAGGGTGAGCAGATGAGACCTGGAGTGGCCCTGAAGAGACTGCGTCCAGCGTCCAGGCGGTTGGGTTCCGGAGGTGACGGTGAAGACTGCTGTGGTGGTAGCAGGTGCTGCAAGCCCTGGAAGGGAGAGCCCAGGAGCAGGTGGGGGGAGGGAGTAGACAGCCCGGCCCAGAGGCCAGGTCTGGCGTGGTCCGGCTGCACAACCACCAGGACATGCATAGGCCAAGGGAGAAGCCAATGGCAGAAGGTCCAGGAGACCTAAAAGCGTTTAATTTAATCAAGTGTGAGAGTCAGGTGGTTCTGGAGGCCCGGGAAAAGATGTTTGACTTGGACAGGCGGCGCCGAGTGCCGCTGTGTCCCTTGTTAGGGAGCCCTGGCAGCAGAGTGAGTGGTTGAAGCGTGGGGTTCCTAACCACAAAGTTGGTTCCACCTCCCCAGCTGCTCCGGTCAAACTGTAGCGCCTAGGAGACTAAGGAGTGGCTCTTCTCTGCCCTGCAGGGTGGCAGGGAGTCTGCAGTGGACCCCCTGGCAGTGGTCTGGATGTTGTAGACTGTGTGCCTCTTTCTTAGGGGGCCCCAGTGGCGCTCAGCTGCTCTGGCTATCTGGGAAGACAGACCTGGAAATCGGGCTCGGTAAGGGCTTGTCTGTAGGTGCCCTGAGTCCGTTCGGATTCACAGCAGCCTTGGGCACAGCATTACACAGCACGGCCCGGGCATATGCTCGCCTCACGGTCCTTGCTACTACATCGGAACCCACTGTTGCAGCCGCCATGCCGTGCCATCTCATTGAGGGTCTCCCTGGGGGTTCTTTTGCCAGCTGACCTACTTTACCCAGTGGTGGTGTTCTGCAGGAGCTGGCGCCTCTGGTGTAAAGTGTGCAAAGTGTCGCTGGCTCAGCTTCTAAGGGAGCATCGTAGCGTTGGTCGTTGGTTCTTCCGGGCGGCCCCGGGCGTATTTGGCTTCCTTCTCCTGTAGTACCGCAGTCGAGAAGTAGCAGCTCCCATCCTCCTCACGCACGGCTCTCCCAGGGAGCTGCCATGCATGTGGGGAGACTGAAAGTACCCGTTGCAGGCCCTCCTCTGATTTTTGGACCCCTGCTTCCATGGGCACTGACTATGGAAAGATGGTAGCCTAGACGCCGAGTGAGGTAAAAATGGATTCGATGGCACCCAGCTGCATGCCTTGTGTAAAGAGGAAACGGGGTGGGGTGGGGGGTAGGATGCAGGAACACCAGCGTCGGCACCCTGCAGGAGCTGAGGAGAGGTGGCCAGCTGGATGAAGGCGCCTTCCTGAGGGTGCTAGGGAAGTGGGTGATCATTGGAGGTGGGGTGATGGCCGCCTGGAACCCGTGGGGATGGATAGCAACCAAAGCCGGGAGTGTCGCAGCGTCTTGATCAGTGCAGCTCAGGGGCAGATGTGAAATGGGGTGCAGTCAGTGCTTTGGGGGGCATGTGAAGGCTTCTCACCAGAGGGAGAAGCAGGGAGAACCCTGTGGGGAGCACCCTGGGGGGTCTAGGACCTAGCAGCTGCCATGGAGTGGCAATGGCATGTGTGACAGTCAGGAGTAGCGGTTCTCAGCCTGGGGGCCTCGACCCCATCACAGGGTCACCTAAGACCATCGGAAAACAAGAGTAGCAAAATGACAGTTATGAAGTAGCAACAAAGATGGTTTTATGGTTGTGGGGGTCACCACAACATGAACTGTATTAAAGGGTCGGGGCATTAGGAAGGTGGAGAACCACTGGTCTAAAGGGTCACCTCTGAGCACACCGACGTGACTGAGGAGAGAATGGAGGGAAGGCCACGGTCACTGGGGGTTCCGAGGAAGGCAGCTGCTGGTGGCGCCCAGTGTGGGAGAGCTGTCACCCACCTTCCTCCTCCTCCTCCGAATCCTACCATTGGCCTTCTCCGAGAGTCAGCAGACCCCAGGGTGCTGGTCCACCCTGGGTGGGGCTGGTTCCATGGGCCCCCCCCCCACCTGCCTTCACAGCAGACCTGCCCCTGTGGGCTGAGGGGAGGGGCTGGCTGTGGGGAGGCCCCGCGGTGGCCTCTCAGGGTGTCCTCACAGCGTCTCTCGCCCTGTCCCCAGTCCCTGAAGAGGAAGGAGAAGGAGTATGAGCACGAGATGGAGCGGCTGGCGCGGGAGAAGATCGCCACGCAGCAGCGGCTGGCCGAGCTCAAGCATGAGCTGAGCCAGTGGATGGACGTGCTGGAGATCGACCGCGTGCTGCGGCAGACGGGCCAGCCTGAGGACGACCAGGCCTCCACCTCCACCGCCTCAGGTGAGCACGTCCGGCGCTGTCCCTCCCGCAGAGAGCCTCTGGCTGCTGCTGGACTGTCCCTACCCTGGAACACAGTCACCCTCCAGGGTCATTGTGCTCTCAACCCCTTGTTTCCTGGCCCTTTCTGACTCCCCTCTCCCCATGTCACCCCCCCCTCCCCCCCATGCAGAGGGTGAGGACAACATAGATGAAGAGATGGAGGAGGACAGGGCAGGCCTGGGCCCACCTAAGCTGAACCATCGGCCCCAACCAGAGCTGCTGAAGTCGGCCTTGCCGCTGCCCAGCGCCACCCCTGCACCCCCGCCACCCCACCCCCAGCCGCACCCCGTGGCCCTGTCTCCTGCCCACCTGCCAGTGCAGCAGCAGCAGCAGCCACCACAGCAGAAGACACCTTTGGCCGCCCCTCCGCCCCCACCAACGGCCCCTGCCCAGACACTGGTGCCAGCTCCGGCCCACCTGGTGGCCTCAGCTGGGGGAGGCTCCACGGTCATCGCCCACACGGCCACCACCCACGCCTCAGTCATCCAGACTGTGAACCACGTCCTCCAGGGACCAGGCGGCAAGCACATCGCCCACATCGCCCCCTCGGCCCCCAGCCCTGCTGTGCAGCTGGCACCTGCCACCCCCCCCATCGGCCACATCACGGTGCACCCTGCTGCCCTCAACCACGTGGCCCATCTCGGCTCCCAGCTGCCCCTATACCCACAGCCCGTGGCGGTTAGCCACATTGCCCACACCCTCTCCCACCAGCAAGTAAACGGCACTGCTGGCCTGGGACCCCCAGCCACTGTCATGGCTAAGCCAGCTGTTGGGGCGCAGGTGATGCATCACCCCCAGCTGGTGGGCCAGACAGTGCTCAACCCCGTGACCATGGTCACCATGCCCTCCTTCCCGGTCAACACACTGAAGCTGGCTTGAGGAGGAAGCCACTCAGAGGCCCCAGTGGGGGCAGGGCGGGGGTCCTGGCCCCCACTCTCCCACCCACCAGCTCCACACATTCCAGCCTTGCCCAGGCCTGCTCCACCCCCACCCACCCCCAGGCCTCCTAGGGGACGGGGATGCAAAGACTCTGAGCCAGGGGAGAGAGGGGCCGCCCCAGGGGGCTGGGCATGGGGCGCAGGAGTCCCCACTGCACTAGGACTTAAGAGAATGACTGATGAAATGAGACGCCGGTGAGCGTGCCACCTGTGCGGCCTGGTGCCACCTCCCACTTCCGTTCCCGCCACCCACCCTGTCCCCTGGAATCAGTGTGAAGGGGCCTCCTGGTCTCTGCTTCCCCCTGCCCGCCATCCATTGCTGCTGCTGCTGCTATTGCTCTGTCTGGTGAGGTGGCCGAATGCCCTGCGCTGGACACTAGTGACAGTTCTGAGGGAGTGGCCCGCCTGGAGTCTCACCCAGACCCATGGGTGCCCCCAGCCTGGCCTCTGACCAAGCCGCCACTGATCAGTTCCAGCAGAAGGGCGATGGGCCACCACCACTAAACCAAGTCCAAGCTGTTGCCAAGTTTCCCAGGGGCATTGGACAAGCCTCCCGCCTTGGCGTGGGCACAGAGGTTTGCTGTCCTGTGCCCCCGACCCCCAACCTGGAAAGAAGGGGTGCCATTCATTTCCGCGGCTTCTGCTCAGTCTCCCTTGCGCCCTCTAAGGGCCGGTGGGCCCAGGTGTCTGGCTTTGGGCGCCTCTGCAACCTGGAAGGCCTGGGCCAGGAGCCCGGCAGCCCAGGAGTATTTGGCTTCCTTCTCCTGTAGTACCGCAGTCGAGAAGTAGCAGCTCCCATCCTCCTCATGCACGGCTCTCCCAGGGAGCTGCCATGCATGTGGGGAGACTGAAAGTACCCGTTGCAGGCCCTCCTCTGATTTTTGGACCCCTGCTTCCATGGGCACTGACTATGGAAAGATGGTAGCCTAGACGCCGAGTGAGGTAAAAATGGATTCGATGGCACCCAGCTGCATGCCTTGTGTAAAGAGGAAACGGGGTGGGGTGGGGGGTAGGATGCAGGAACACCAGCGTCGGCACCCTGCAGGAGCTGAGGAGAGGTGGCCAGCTGGATGAAGGCGCCTTCCTGAGGGTGCTAGGGAAGTGGGTGATCATTGGAGGTGGGGTGATGGCCGCCTGGAACCCGTGGGGATGGATAGCAACCAAAGCCGGGAGTGTCGCAGCGTCTTGATCAGTGCAGCTCAGGGGCAGATGTGAAATGGGGTGCAGTCAGTGCTTTGGGGGGCATGTGAAGGCTTCTCACCAGAGGGAGAAGCAGGGAGAACCCTGTGGGGAGCACCCTGGGGGGTCTAGGACCTAGCAGCTGCCATGGAGTGGCAATGGCATGTGTGACAGTCAGGAGTAGCGGTTCTCAGCCTGGGGGCCTCGACCCCATCACAGGGTCACCTAAGACCATCGGAAAACAAGAGTAGCAAAATGACAGTTATGAAGTAGCAACAAAGATGGTTTTATGGTTGTGGGGGTCACCACAACATGAACTGTATTAAAGGGTCGGGGCATTAGGAAGGTGGAGAACCACTGGTCTAAAGGGTCACCTCTGAGCACACCGACGTGACTGAGGAGAGAATGGAGGGAAGGCCACGGTCACTGGGGGTTCCGAGGAAGGCAGCTGCTGGTGGCGCCCAGTGTGGGAGAGCTGTCACCCACCTTCCTCCTCCTCCTCCGAATCCTACCATTGGCCTTCTCCGAGAGTCAGCAGACCCCAGGGTGCTGGTCCACCCTGGGTGGGGCTGGTTCCATGGGCCCCCCCCCC